ACTTGATATGCACTCTATTTTGTACAGATATAGGTCTGGGCTTCCTGGATATTTATGTATAGAATGTAGGGAGATTCGAGAGTGGTCTATTGTGATATGACATTAAAGGATAGTATCCTTTACAAGTGGTCTATTTATGTAGAGTATCCACTTGTGAGGGATACTTTTCTGGGCAAACTTGATATGCACTCGATATATTACAGATATTAGTCTGGGCTTCCTGGATATTTGTATTTTCAATGCAGGTACAATTGTTCCAATGATTACTTATTTCACTATTCACATGTGACCTTTTTGGTTACTGTACTCATGTGATCTTTTTTGTTACTGTGCTCATGTGACCTTTTTTGCATTTGTCTATTTAAGAGCCAACTTAAATGAACCCAAATCTGCTATCCTCCTCTCTCAGTTTCTTCTTCACTTCTCTTCCAAAGCAAAATCCATGTCTGGAGAGACTCCTAAACCAGCGCGCCGGGAATTGGTGGATGAGTTTGAATATGACGGTGTTGTATTCTGTTACCATGGTTGGAGAGCCGCCAAACGACTTGCTGTTGATGGAGTCAACCCACCGAAGAGGTATTTCCGATGTCGGATGTACGAGTACGACAATGATAACGGGTGTGGTTTTCACATGGATTGGGACGAATTAATGTTCGCCGGTTTTTCAGAGTCGGATGATGAAGATAACACCGAGGAGACCGTGAAGAAATGAATTTGTATTTCCTGTTATCACTTTGTATTGTGTTGAGTTTGTTTCTCTGTGATATTTGTCTGGGTATTTAGGATATTCGTCTGGGTCTTTAAGATATTTGTATGGGTCCTTAGGATATTCATCTGGAGATTAAGGATATTTGTATGGGTCTTGAAGATATTTGTCTGGTTCTACTGGATATCTTGCTGTCTCTTTCAGATATTCTTCTTCCTTTTGATGATGTTTGTTTGAAGAAAGATGGTATTTGTATGGGCTAAATGAGTTTGTATCGTGTTGATATTAATCTAAGTAAATAATGTATTATTTTGTGTTGTATTCTGTTACCATGGTTGGAGAGCCGCCAAACGACTTGCTATTGATGGAGTCAACCCACCGAAGAGGTATTTCCGATGTCGGATGTACGAGTACGACAATGATAACGGGTGTGGTTTTCACATGGATTGGGACGAATTAATGTTCGCCGGTTTTTCAGAGTCGGATGATGAAGATAACACCGAGGAGACCGTGAAGAAATGAATTTGTATTTCCTATCATCACTTTGTATTGTGTTGAGTGTGATATTTGTCTGGGTCTTTAGGATATTCGTCTGGGTATGTATGATATTTGTCTGGTTCTACCGGATATCTTGTTGTCTCTTTCAGATATTCTTCTTCCTTTTGATGATGTTTGTTTGAAGAAAGATGGTATTTGACTTTTGTAATAGCTTGTTGGGGAGCCGCACGGCCAGACCATGGAGACGCACGGCCGTGCACTTGAGCCATATGGCTGTGCGCCTCATGCCGAGGCCACGCACGGGCAGAGCAGACTACCGCACGGCCGTGCAACATACAAACCTGGCCGTGCGGGTTGGTGCGAGAGCTTGCACGGGCACAATCTAGACTTGCACGGCCGTGCACCTGGCCGTGCAAGATGGCTGAGTCGACTTAAGTGGATACGGTGCGTTTCATGGAGCACGGCCAGAATGGTGTTGAGTTTGTTTCTCTGTGATATTTGTCCGGGTCTTTTGGATATTCGTCTGGGTCTTTAGGATATTTGTATGGGTCCTTAAGATATGCATCTGGGTCTTTAGGATATTCGTCTGGGTATGTATGATATTTGTCTGGTTCTACCGGATATCTTGTTGTCTCTTTCAGATATTCTTCTTCCTTTTGATGATGTTTGTTTGAAGAAAGATGGTATTTGACTTTTGTAATAGCTTGTTGGGGAGCCGCACAGCCAGACCATGGAGACGCACGGCCGTGCACTTGAGCCATATGGCCGTGCGCCTCATGCCGAGGCCACGCACGGGCAGAGCAGACTACCGCACGGCCGTGCAACATACAAACCTGGCCGTGCGGGTTGGTGCGAGAGCTTGCACGGGCACAATCCAGACTTGCACGGCCGTGCACCTGGCCGTGCAAGATGGCTGAGTCGACTTAAGTGGATACGGTGCGTTTCATGGTGCACGGCCAGAATGGTGTTGAGTTTGTTTCTCTGTGATATTTGTCCGGGTCTTTTGGATATTCGTCTGGGTCTTTAGGATATTTGTATGGGTCCTTACGATATGCATCTGGGTCTTTAGGATATTTTTATGGGTCCTTAGGATATTCGTCTGGCTCTACCGGATATCTTGTTGTCTCTTTCAGATATTCTTCTTCTTTTTGATGAGTTTGTATCATGTTGATATTAATCTAAATAAAGAAGGTATTAGTCTGTGTTGTATGGATAATCGACCAGCCAAAATAAGGATATTAGTCATTGTCAAAATAAGAATATTACTTATGTTGGTAATTATATCCAACATCTACCAAATTATCCTCCATCCTAATACAAACCATCATCCATTCCTAATTAGAAAAGAACATCTACCAAAATATCCTCCATCCTATCCAGCACACCTAAACAAATCTAAAATCAATTTCTCCTCCTTTTCCCTCTCACTTTCTCAATCTGCATACTCCAATCCTTTGCTTCTTGAATTATTGCATCCTTGTAGCCGTTATACTCCCATAACAGGAGGTTAGCTGCAATCCGTGTTCTTTGACAATCCACATGTTCCTTCTTGTGCCAACTGTTTTTACATTCCACCGGAATGTGACCCGCCCATTGCTCCATGTAGAGGCATGCAAATACACCACAATCATCGTGGCCAAATTGCTGAGGAACATCAGCAATGCTGAATTCCCACTCATGCAATTTACAATCCACCCCCTGATGCTTGAGGAACTCCGTCACATACTCAAAGATCACTTTCCCCACTGGTGCATGATCTGCCTTAGCAACTCGGGCATTAGGCTTTTGGCTGTCGAGTAGGAAAGTCTTCCTATTCTTCATGTCAGCGACATACACTCGGTAGTGATCTTTGAGATACATGGGAAAGAAGATCTGAAACACAATACAGTTAGTGAGTTAATCATTGAAGAATATCCGAACAACCCATATTAATAGCTCAACAGCTCAGAAAAATATCCTATAAACCCAGACCAGTATCAAGGAAAGTCAGAAAAATATCCAAACATTGAAAGCACTTACATAATCACAGCTTTCCAAGTTTTCTCGTTTCAGCATTGGATTATTCTTGTGCAGGTCAATCCACCCCAAGATTCTCTCCTTGTCCATTGGTTTTTTTTTAATGGCATCATCGACGGCATATTGCTATTTAGAAGAGACAACAATATAAAATTAGACATTTTCAACATAAATAGGATCTAAGTAGTGAAGATAATACTTACCACATATGTCCATGGGAAGACAATTCTCTTCACCATCTCCTTATCTTCTTGGTAATTTAGGTACAGCCCGTATACTAAAATGACATGGCTATGAACCCAACTGTTACCCTTTAATGACAATATGTGGAGACGGCTAAGCGAGGCCTTTGGAGTTTTCACGATTATGTTGTGACTGTAAAACAAACATTAATATCCAGGTTAGTTAGTAGCCATGAATTTGACAGATTGGAATTGGCGATTAAAGATGAACAACTTACTCGTCTTTAGCTGTGGTACTCCAGATGAACTCAACAACTTGCCGTGCCGTATCGTCGAGTTTCGTCGACGAAGACTTTGCCAAAACATACACTGATGAGTCAATTGGGTGGTGTTTTGACCTCTGGAATGCAGGAGTTTTAAGAGTTGCCTTCCATGCTTCTGGAGTGATAGAGTCCATAAACTCTGCCTCCTCCTGAGTCTGTGGCCTCTCACTTACGAGAATATCATCGTCCTCTTCCTCCAGCATCCTCTGGCATGCTGCTATCAGCTCCCCGTCTGATGGTAGTGCTTCGACATGGCTCTACAAAACATTGCCAAAGGTTAGTATCTACTAAAACAGAAACAAATATCCTAGAAGCCCAGACTAGTATCCATAAAAAATAAACAAATATCCATAAAGCCCAGGCTAGTATCCATAAAAAAGAATCAAATATCCAGAAAATTGAGACTAGTATCTACTGGTTAGGGAAATATTACCGTTGTGGGAGATGTCCTTATACTGGCATCGGCCGCAGTAGTGGCCTCGAAACCAATCTGCATTACATCAGCGAATGTGGTTTGCGGGTCGGTATAATGCATGTCCCGCGACTCCGACTCCACCGCTTCAACCACGTCATCACCTGCTGATGTAACTGCTGGCACACCGAACTCCTGAACAACTGGCAAGTCATTCTTCTTACTCCTTTTCCTGGAGTATACACGGCCAAACATGTTTTCCCTCACAGTAACCTCGTCCTCCATGACTACTACATCATCTTCCTCTTCCTCCTCTTCCTCTACCTCCTCTACCTCCTCTACCTCCTCTTCCTTGTCCTCCATGACTACTACCTCATCCTCCTCTTCCTCTTCCTCTACCTCCTCTTCCTCCTCCATTTTAGCTTTTGCTGCTGCTACCAAAATAGAAGAAAATTCTGCCAATCTGCCCCGAAGCCCGTCAAGCTCAACACCCACCAAGTCGAGCTGGAAATCAATGCATGCATATAAACGTTAATATCCGGACTGCCCAGGTAAGTATCCAACAATGAACCACAACTAATATCCTCGAGAATACATTAATATCCGCTTGTGAAAGTGTTAATATCCTGATGTTTTTTACAGGTATCCAGAAAGCCCAGACTATTATCCAATTGTGAAAGTGTTAATATCCTGATGCTTTCCTATAAATATCCATAATGCAAAATAATATCCAATATTGTGAAAGTGTTAATATCCTGATGCTTTCCTATAAATATCCATAATGCAAAATAATATCCAATTCATAAATAATATCCAAAAAAAAATACAAACCAATATCCAAACTCAACATGAAACAAACTTTTGTTCGATACAACCCTTGGTTCAAAGCCATTCCAACATGGCAATTATATAAATGAATAAAGCTCCATTACAACCACTTAATGACGTCCAAACATGCAAAGTTCAATTCTTGTCTTGCTGGCGCTCAATGGCAACCCTTCGGACACTTTCCCGCCATGAATCCCACTTATCCTTCACTTTTTCAGTCAAGGACTGAAGTGCCTTAAGCTACACATGCATCCCAAAAAATTTAGTTTACTACATGCACTCGTGTCTACTAAGGGACTCGATTTCCAATTTAAAAGACAATAATCTACATACCTCGTCGGTATCAAGGGACTCCAAGTCTGTTTCCTCCCACCATTCTGTCGTGTATAACCGAGGAGTAGCTGTATGAGGAGCCGAGCTGCTTGTTCCTGATTCCCACTCCCTCCTGCCACGTCCTGGAAAGAAGCGAGATCGGACTTCTTCTCTCGACAGCAACACGGGAGCCACATCATATAACTCCGCCTTAGGGACAGCCAAGCATAGGTTATCCACCCTTGGTTCAAACCAATAGCTGCAGCTGGGGATTGTATTTGTGGCGATTCCTCTCACCTTAAGGAAATCCATCAAATGAAGCTACAAAAAAAAGTGTATGTTAGAAAAGATATCCCAATAATAAAAAGATATGCTAAAAAAAATATACACATCTTTAAACTGTAACTTACCATCAAGAATTGGATATCCCCATTAACCCACTGCATATCAGCTCCCCTGGCCCTAGCCTCACCTTCTCTTTTTTTTGTAACAGTCAGCTCTACCTTCAGCTGTCGGGCGACATGACCACTCCAATTAAAAGTTCTAATGTCCTCAACCCTCCCCGCCAAGTACTCGGCATAGTCAAACTTACAGATCCGGGAGCTTGTTGGAACGAGCAACGAACCAAGAGCCACAAGTAGGAACTGCTTCACTGCAGCTGCAACAGGTGGCCTCCTACTCCCTCTACCCCGACCTTTAGTCGACTTACTCAACTTAACCATGTGCACAAGTTTCATATTTCGTTCCCGATTACCCTCCAGGCCGAGCTCCTCCTTCAGAACATTGAGCATAGAGTTATTGGCCTTCACAAGGTCAATCTCAGCACCGCCAAGAGGAATGCCGTATACACGGGCAGCATCCTCATCTTCAATGGTGAGCACCTGTTGCAAGTTAGAAGAACAAAGAGCAATGAGTCAATGATCAAGCATACAACAAAAAAATACAATAACCATACAACAAATGGTGAGCACCTTTTTGTTTTCGCCTTCACCAAAAATGAAGCTGCTGGTGCGGATGTCGTAATGTGCCATCAAGGTAGGCAGCATCTGCTTAGGAACATCGACCAGCCGAAGCTCAAATAGGCCTCCAAATCCAGCCTTCTCGATCTCTCTCTTGCAAGCTTCATAGTATCGTGGATCTTGCTTCCAGTCTTTTATAATTGACAACACCTTCTTGGTGGTACAGCGAAATCTATACTGGCGCCCTCCTGCTTTTTCAGCATTTTCTTCGTCCTCGCCATCTTCGTCCTCACCATCTTCGTCCTCACCATCTTCGTCCTCGCCATCTTCGTCCTCGCCATCTTCGTCCTCATGGGATTGCCCATCATCGTCTTCATGCTCAATTTCATCATCCACAAAATCAAATTCTTCTTCCTCCTCTTGCTGTTGTTGTTTAGTACGTTTAGGCCTCGAGGTTTCACCTCCTGTTAAGGGCCTCATTGCTGCTTGCTCTTTAGTTCTCGGCATTGCTGGTGTTTTCCCTGTACATTAGAATACCCAAATTCATCAAACTGATATCCAGATACACCAAACAGATATCCAGGCAATTCACCTAAAATATCCAGATATACCAAACAGATATCCAGGCTCGTGAAAATAAATATCCTGCTTCAGATACACAGACCAGAACAGGTGCAACACAGATCCAGTCAAATAAGAAAAAATTAAATCGGGTTACCCAAAATCGTAGCCATGCAGATCAGGAAAATACCCAAAGATTTCAACACTCGTATCCATCATACAAACCCCAAACCATTAAAGCCGAGCCAGCCAAAACCCACAATCCATTAAACCCTAAATACAATCCATGCAAAACCTAAAAATGAATCTATGAAATCAAACAATCGGCGAATCAAGCAAGGGGAAGACATACCGTCACCGTCGCGATGCTTACAAGCCGCAACCGTCGCCGTCGACGCCGTCGAAGCCTCGCGCCACCGTCGCAGTCGTCGATCGAGTGAGGAAAAGGACCGGCGGCAGCAGAGAGAGGGAGAGGGAGCGGCGGCAGACAGGGGGACAGGGAGCGGCGGTGCGGCAGAGAGAAGGAGAGGGAGCGGCGGCGGAGAGAGGGACAGGGAGCGGCGGCGGCAGAGAGGACAGGGACAGGGAGCGGCGGCAGAGAGGAGAGGGAGCGAAACCCTAGCTCTTCAGACGCGTGCAATTTTTAGAGAGAGAGGGAAAATGGTCGACTGAATTGATATTCCGGCGGGTTGGGTTTATTTTTTTGACAAAATCGCGGGTTGGGTTTAGGGTATTCAAAATTTGGGTTTTTTGAAATTGTGGGCCCTGCGGGCCCATTTTTAATTTTAGGCCGGTCGTGACGTGGAGAAGCCACAGGCTTTGTTAGTATCTACTAACAAAAATGCCTGTTAGCAGGATAGCTGAATTGACCAACACCACCCAAAAGTTGATGGTCGGGTTAAATTGGTGGGTTTGGGCGGATTTGGCGGGTCAAGTGCCTGCCTTCAGATATCCTCCTCCTCCTTTCCCAACAATCCTATAAAGTAGGGGTGGGAAACAGTCCAGTTCGGTTTAAACCAGACCGGATTGACCCGGTTTTTTGAAACCGTATTGGACAACTCCACGACCGTAGACGGGATTGGATTGTTACCCGGTTCAACCGTGACCGGACTGGATTGAATCCGGTTTCAACCGAAAAACCGGATCACCTTCTCCATCCCAAAACACAGTCGTTTCAATACCAAAATATTACCCTCCTTCTCCTGCCAACCACACAATCCAAACCCTATTCACTACCAAAAAATTGCCCTCACCATTCTTTCTTCCCAGCTACCTTCGAGATGCTTCTTCTCCCTCTCCCTCCTTCTCCTGCCAATCACACAATCTAATCCCTATTCCCTACCAAAAAATTGCCCTCACCATTCTTCCTTCCCATCTTCCTTCGCGATGCTTCTTCTCCCTCTCCCTCTACTGGATCCAACCAAATACACACAAGCAGCTCTGCCTATGAGCTCGATTAAAGTAAGAGAGGCGAGAAGACTTGGATCTGGAGAAGCGATTAGAGTCGCGTGAGTCGGGAAGGGGATGCATGTCGTCGGCCGCCGCGTCTCGATCGATCAAATATCCTCGCCGACTCCGTCACCATCGTCGTCGCGCGCTGGGAAGTTGGAGAGCAGAGGACCTAGCAGAAGTCAGATCAGACGGGATGGACGACGGGTGATGGAGGGAGGCGATTGGCGTCTGCGAGGTCTGGTGGCGGAGTGGCGATGGTCGGCGACGGGATGGAGGGAGCCAATGGTCGGATTTTCTTCTTCTCCTACTCCTCTTGTGTGGTGGGTCGGTGAATGGGAAAGAGAAAGTTGAGGGTCGAGGGGGAGAGAACAGAGGAGGGTGATTAGGGTTTGGGATGGTGGGGGACTGGGGGTGGGTTGTTTGGGCTGGGATATTAGCTGGCTAGGCTTGTTTGGGCTGGGATATTAGTGGACTGGGCTAGGCTATTTGTTTATTTTCTGTTGTCCGGTTTTTCCGGTTTTAACCGGATCGGACCGGGCCTGTGAGTATTACAACCGCAAACTGGATTGGATTGGTTGGGATCCGGTTTCCGGTTGCAACCGGTACGGTTTTAACTGGCCAGTTTCCGGTTTGACCGGAAAACCGGGACCGAATTTCCAGCCCTACTATAAAGAGGTTCTTGACCAGAACCCCCTTAACCTCTCTTTTAATGTGCTGTGCGCAATTCACGGAAGGAGATTTTTGTAAATTGCTTCTCCTCCCTCAAAGCCCATTAGAGCTCCTACGGTTCCGAATATCCTATGTCAATCTGCCTGCCTTTCGCGTCCCATAGAATTAATAAATTATCCCGGGGAAGGCAATTAAACGCGCGCCACCCGATACTAATATTTATATGGACTCAATAAATAAACATACAAATTCCAGCATTATGTGGGCTAGGGATGGCAACTTTCCCCATACCCATGGGTTTCTTACTATTCAACCCAATTGGGTTGGGTATGAAATCCAAATAGATGGATATGGGTAGAGTTTGATGGGTTTGTACCCATACCCATTTACTTTGGGTTGAGTTGGGTTTATATCAAATGGATTTGAGTTTATACCCATGCCCAAATACAAATTACAGTTTGGTACCCAAACTTAATAGACATGCATATTTAGTACCTAAATTTATTTTTTTTTGCATATAAGTCCTCAAAATATCGATGGAAAATTACGTTTTGGTACCTAAATTTTTTTGGTCTTACATTTTGGTACGTAAACTTTTCAAGTTTTGCAAATAGGTCAAATTTTTGCATGTGTAGTTAAAACACCCTCAAGTAAATGGATATCCATATCCAACCCATACACATTTAGATTATGGAAGCCCAAAACCCAAACTCATCTATAAACCCCCAAATCCATATGCACTTCACCCATACCCAACCCATTATCAATGGGTCTACTTGGGTTTGGGTATAATTACCCATGGGTGGGTAATTTGCCATCCCTAATGTGGGCCCTTTTTTTAGAGGGTTGCTATTTGCCGCCCATAATTTTAGTGAAATGTCAATTCTATCCTTCATCCATTATAATATCAAACCTAATTCCACAACGCAGACCATCACCGTCGTTGGTGTCAGACCATCGTCTCCGCCAGACCCCGCCGCCGTCAGACCGCCGCCGCCGCCGTTTGACCGCCGCCGGTAATGGGGAAAGAATCACATGCTTACTCCATTTGGTAATCCGTTAATCACAAATCATAATTGATTTTTATGAATAAAAAGGTCGCCGATGGCAACCGTTCGAACGTAGGCGTTGAAACCAGTCCGAACGTGGTTGTCTGACCCCGTCCGAACGTCGCTGTCGGATCCCGTACGAAAGTCTCAGCCGGACCCGTTCGAAAGTCGCTGTCGGACCCCGTCCGAACGTCGTTGTTGGACCCCGTCCGAAATTTCTAACAACAAAGAGTAAGTGCATTTTGAATATTAATTTTTTGGAGTCGATTTTCTTGAATGAGTTGTACCTTTTTCTTTTGATAAAGACTTCTTACTTGAATATAATTATCAAAATGTCATAAAACATATGATGTAGGTCATTTTATGATATTTTTAATAATTGAATCATTTTGATTTTTTATGGTACCAAATAAAAATACAACTTTGCTCGATCAATTAGTATTGTTATTCATATTATTGTCATGATTCATCCGGCCAACGGGCGGGTTTAAATCTAGTGAAAACTCATTGAAATTCTGGGACGCATCTAATTTCACGTTCCCATGGACATTTTTGTATCTAAGATAAATACATTTTAAATCTATTAGATAAAACAGAAGATCACAAATGTATCTAAGATAAATACATTTTAAGTCTAATTGGTATAATAAGGCATCAGCTTAACTCTAATTCATTGAATGGAGGCTACGGTTCATTGAATCCGTACAACTTTCGCTTCTTCTTACGATGCTCTAGAAAATTGGCGGACGAATGATTTGTTTGAGATCGGAGGAAGAGAATTGCGGGACGAATAACGGGTACCCGTTAATCTGTACGGGTTTGGGACATGGGATGAAATTTCTACTCCAAATAGGTTGAAACGGGTATTCCGTCCCGTTGACCACCTTACAATTGGCACCAAACACTAAGGCTGAGTCCAATGCTAGTCCCCAAATTTGGGGACCTTCATCCCCAAATTTGGGAATCATCCTCATTTTCTCCTCTTTTGCTCCAATGCTACATCCTCCAAATATGGGGATCTTCCTTTTATCAGTTTCTCATTTACTTAAAAATGTACTTATGGAAGCATTAATATAATTTTTTCATATTAATATTTGTATAGTTCGTCATCATTTTCATATAGAATTTTTTCGATAGAATTTTTTTAAATTCCGAGACCAAAATTTTTTTGGCAAAAAATGATTGACCTAATTAGAGTTTACACACAACACTTAAAAATGATAAAGCTGAAAGAGTTCACATAATAGTTCAAATGATACAACTGATTGGTTACACACAAAACTTGATAATGATAAAGCTTAAATATTACACAAAACACTTGACATGCATTATATTGCACAACATGATAATCGAAGATGAGCAAGTTGATTCTGATGATGAAATGGAAGATAGTCTTGATTATGAGGTCCACGACCAACAACCAACTAATGTTAACAGAGATATTCCAACACTAACTGAGTACTTGGCTAGAATAATAGGCTTCGTGTTGCACCAACACATCATGGGTTTCGTCAAGACTTGGTTGAGCATATTTGGAACTTGCATGGAAATAATTAGTCATTGTTGTTGCTTGATACCGATCCTTTGTAATTTAATTAAAGTTGTAGTTGGTGATAATTTGTTTTGTATTTCAAGAACGCATTTTTATTTCAATAATATATTTTCCATTCTTAGTTCGGTCTAGTTTTTGTTTACACACAACCTCAAGATGATAAACATAAATTTTAAATAAAATGAATTCAATTTAAATCATCTTATCAAATAAAAGAAATTAAACACAAATTAAAAAATTAAAGACGCCAAAATAATACAAACATTAATTTTCATTCCCTTAATTAATCATAACACCATCCCTTAAACCAAACAAATTAAAATGTTCATTAAAGCCATAATTAAACCTAATTAAATCCATAATCAATTACATAATTAAACCATCATTTAAAACCTAATCAATATCAATTAAATTACTAAAAAAATTAATGCGGAACAACCGCCAGCCCCGGGAAGTGGAGCTGACGCGCGCGGGGAGCCTTTCAATTAATTATATATTTTTATAATTATTTTTGGACGATGTTGTTTAGTTGAAAATGACATCGCGAGAGGTATCAACAACACCACATATTAGAAAATGAGAGTGTTTAATATAAAACAATGTCGCGGAGAAAAAAGCAAACATAGTTGTTTGGGGAAGAAAAGACACCGCGATACTAGCAACGACGTTGTTCAGTCCAAAACAATGTCACGTTGACATTGGTTGATCCCAATTATAGATATGGCAGGGCTTCGAGATCAATGTTGGGTTTCAGTACCAACCCCCCTACTACGAAGAACAATCAGACCCCTGGGCATTTCAAGAAAAATCTCTTTATCAAGAAGAACTCCTCCCACAACCAGAACGCCCATCAGATCTTGAGTTAGCCACAGCCTTCACGGACCATCCGGCAGATCCATGCTACACTCCGCAGCCAGATCCCAACTATAACTTGAGGCTTCTCGTGGAGCAGATTACTCGAGTACCTGAGAGATACTTTCCTGAGATGGATTCTCATGTTCAGGCCATTGCCCAAACTAACTTCTCCTTTCCCCGTAAAACAGAGGAGACCCTTCGGAGCATAAATAAGCACATAGAGGTCATTGAGAAAGCTTGTGCACAGTTTTCTCAAGATAGCCTTTATGCTACAATACAAGCAGAGAAGGAGGAAGAAGAAGTCAATCATGAGGATGTCGTGGAGCATACAGAGTTTGTCACGAAGAGCTCCCGTGATGATCATGATCGGCAATGTCCTGATGTAGCTTACCATACCTTTATGCATCCGACACCGAGCGCTGAAGAGGCGGGCATGAGTGAGGAGATGCAAGCTGATCTTATTGAAAAGATTGCATAGCGACTTGCTCTCTAATAGCTGCTAGAAGAAGAAGAGCGAGAAAGGATGAGGAAAGAAGTTGTGGAGGATGACGGAAGTGAATTAAAGGAAGTTCTTGATCTTTTCCTACGGGAGGAATCAAATTCTAAGGAAGGAAGGGGGGTTGAAGAAGCAATTGACATCCAGGCTGAGGACAAAGTTGAGGTGGAAGAGGCTTGCACCGGCTATGAGTTACGTGTGATATCTCCACCAAAATTCGAGGAGCTGCCTGGCAAAGACTCATTTGCAGTGTCTCTTTGCCAGACCAAGGCCACATCGACATCGGTCCCTCTTGGTGGTCAGTCGATGTTTTCATATCTGGTTTGGGGCAATGATACGAGAGAGGAAGAAAAGAAGAGGTCTCGCGGGTGGAGACTTCATATCCATCAAGTACACGAGCCTACATCACCAGTCATACCATATGCTCGTGACTTGAGACTCCGCCTCGCTTACATCACCAGTCATACCTTATGGGTCATGATCTGTAGATCTAAATCCATATCCAAAAATTACCATACTACATCAAATTGTAGTTCATAAAACCCACAACAATTTTTGAATAAATAAATCATAAAAATCCCAATCAAACTAACAATAATACGATGAGTGAAAACTATAGTTTCTTGTAGGCTAGTTATATCAAGCAGCATCAACGATGACTAATAAGCTAGCTTTCTTTTGAATTACTTTGATTTTAAATGAATTGTATATTGAAGAGCCAAAGCATACAAAGACCCCAATTTTTTTTTTTTTTTTTTTTTTTGATGGTTAATCAAAATTGCATTGAAAGCCCAGGGAGATGCAACTCGCATCACCCTCTCAAAAGATCAACATTCTTTACACAGTAAACCTATACTAATATCTATGCCAACCAAAAGAAATCAAAACCCTATCAGCTCATTACAACTGATGCCATTTTCTGTAATTCTATAGTACTACTAGCATATATCTCGAACTCCTGCATAACAGCAACTGAAAGTTGAGAAGGGTCTGAAATTCGCTTGACTCCATAGACGCGAGTGCACCTTTCCCTCCAAATGTAAGCACAGCACATCACCCACAATAACCGCCCAATCTTAGCAGGCGAAGTTGTACCCGACCATCGCTGCACCACCCATCTCAAATGGGAACTCCAATCTGTGAAATCCGGCCACCTGCAAATTTTCTTCAACACAACTTGAAAGACAGCTTTACTAAACGAACACAAGGAAAAAAGATGATCCCTGCTTTCAAGTCCACCAGGGCATAAAACACAGCTATTCACATCTGTCAAGCCCCAGCTAGCAAGGTGATCCTTCGTAGTAATTCTATCTAGAACCACCAACCAGACCAATAGACTGTGCTTCATTATAAATGGCTTACCCCATAACACAGAGAACCAGTCAACTGAAGAGGAGGGGATACGTATGGAATTCCAAACAGTCTTAACTGAATACTTCACCAACTTCTTTCCATCCCAAGTCAGGCTACTACCTGTCCCATTCACATGAGCATGAGCCACTTCCCTGCATTTAAGGACCTTCTTCCACACCCATGAGCTTACAGAGTTTGCAGCAATCCCCCATAAATCATTCCCTTTGATCCTATACTTCTGGATCCAAGCAACCCATAGTGAACCAGCCTTAGCAAGCAAATTCCACAAATGCCTTAAAACACATGCTTTGTTCCATGTTTTGAAGTCCCTAATCCCTAATCCACCCTCCATTTTAGGCATAGCAACCCTGGACCAGGACACTGGTGCTCTCTTTCGCCCATTCACTCCAACCCCCCACAAGAATTTGTTACACACCTCCTCAATAGACTTCAAGACTCGCATTGGCAAGAGGAAAACCGCCATCCAATACTGAAATACACTGGTAATAACAGAAGAAATTAATTGAATCCGCCCTGCATAGCTAAGGGTTTTAGCTTGCCAGGTCGTAATCCTCTTAGTAATCTTGTTCACAAAGACCCCAATTTCACAGTGAATTCCAGATCCATAATTCCACAACACTTTTTTTGTAAATTAATCCTAGCCTAGCAAAAATCACAAGCAGCGGCTGTGACTATAAGAAGAAAACTAGTTTCGTTTTATTTTCCAGCAGAAATATAAAGTATTTCGTTTTTTTATATATAACCCTAGATCCATAATAGGTATACACAACCATATTTCCTAAAATCCAGATCTATAAAGTGTTCCAAATCCGCCACCAATAATCTAGTTTTGAGATTTGAAATTCTCTAATCTTACCAAAACCAAGGTTAAAAGAGCCTCACCTAGATCCGTCCATCTCCATAATCTGCGCCAAAACAAGAGAAGGGTCAAAACTGACCCACATCGAGGCAAACAAAAATAAGGAGTAAAAAAAAAAAACCTCACCTGTCAATCTAACGTCAAACCATCGTCGGCGAGGGTTCACCGCCGGAGTTCTTAGCAGCCAAATCCAAGAAACAAAACATAAGAAAATGAAAGAAAATTAGCAGAACCCCATAAATAAAAATCAAAATACAAAATCGAGCCAAATTAAACTTACCTTCCTCCTCTCCTCCCACCGGCGGATTTACTCCAGCGCCTCCTAAGATCCTCCTCCCCTCGCACCAGAGTCAAAAACCCAAAAAAATAGTAGTTGAATCCTAAATACAATCACCTAAAACAAAGTGAAAAGAACATGCATGTCGAGGATCTTACCTAGATCGTTGACTTCTGATCGATTTAGGGAGACTAGAGTGGTCCTTTTTCATGAATCCAAAGGGGATAGCGGCAGCGGTGTTTGATGATGGGTAGGGTTGGTTGAGTTTCTTCTCTGAAAGAGAAGAAGAGTGAAGAAGAGGGAGGAAGAAAAACGAGAGGGGAGAGGAAAAGAGGATGAGCGGCGGCCGATTAGGGTAGGATAGGTTAGGGTTTTGTTTTTTGCCTTAAGAGAGGTATTTATACCCAATTCGTCAAAATGACGCAATTGCCCCCCAATATTTCGTAGATCTACCACTCCTGCCACCGTCCTTATGATAATTTACAAAAATACCCTTCCCTCTTCTCTTAAATAAAATGAGAATCAACAAAAACGTTAGTAGCAGGTTTCGAACCTGTGTTCTCAGGGTCAAACACGCGCTGTGGCAACTTAGCAAGTTGAGTTGCTGGCCAATCACGTGCTAATCTAACCATCCCGTTTAAGGTTATTCGTTTAAAATCCTTAATACGAAAATGTTGAATGCGGATTAAGTTTATCTTGCTTCTTTTCTAATATATCAAAATACTTCCTAATAACTAAAATCCTTGCAATAATCAATTTAAATTTTATTAACAAAATTATAATACGAAAATTTCGTTCAGTGGAACGTGGTAAAAGTTATAATTAAAACGATCAAAGTTCCAAGCGAACTACGTGGACTTTGATCCCGTATTACGGGTACGTAGGCAGCCGAAAGGTTCGAGTCCAACTAACCAATTAACTTTATCTTTTAATTTTTACGCCAGTGGGCGTATAATTAATTACAACTAATATGATTTAAATCCTTTAGAGGTCCAGTGGGACCCTATAAATACCGATTATTATTAAAAACACCCAATTCATAGAAACTTATCAACTTAAGTAGTACCGATTTAGGGCGTTGTGGGGGTGCTGCTTAACTTCCCCACACGTAACCGTACTCCCGAACCCAGAACATTATTTTTGCAGACCAAGTCTCGGTTCCGACCCTAAGGTTGGAGCCGATCTAAGAGTGTTCGATCCACTCCAAGTAAGATCGATGGCGACTCCAAAAAGCGAACGAGACCCCGACGAACCCCTGGAGGGAAGGTTGCGACGCCCAAAACTGACTAGGAACACCAGAGTGAAACAGAAGTGCTCGGGTTAACTCGAGAACATGACGATGCTTGCGTTACACAAGTCCATTATGTTGCGATACACCAGGACAGGATTCTTGTAGCAGGATCCCCTCATGTTTATAAAAAGCAAGCAACTCATTCAATGTAAATTCTCCACCAGGATCATATCGAAGAATCTTAATGGTCTTTGAGAATTGAGTTTTGACCATTTGAACAAATTCTTTAGCCAAAGATGTCAGACCCGATTTCTTCTTAAGGAATTAGACCCAAGAGAAACGTGTGGCATGATCGATGAACAACGCAAAGTATCGAAACCCCATACGTTCTATAACCGGAGAAGGACCCCACAAACCAATATAGACGAGATCAAAAGCATTCTCATAGACTGTGTCACTAGAGGAGAAAGATATCTGAGAAGTTTTCGCCTCAATACAGCTAACACACGGTGAATGAGACGCAAACACAAGATCAAAATTATCTGGTAACAAGTTCTAACGAAACATAGTCAATAACCGAGCGGAATGGGGATGTCCTAACCGACAATCCCATAAATCCCACGGAGAACCTTTAACAAAAAAATCCAAAGAACGAACTGAAAAACAAACATCCTTATTTAACAAACTATCTCCCTTGGCCAACAAATCGTCTCCCTCATCCAAAAAATCACCATCCCGCAGCTCGTCACTCTCAGCAACAATGCAAACAGCAACAACCCCCTCTTTCACGTCAGTTCGAACAATGCACGTTTCCTCCGATGCTTGCAGTTCATCTAGGACAAACACTAGGCCACGTTTACTTCCTCTCCCTAGCAACTTCCCCGTCCTCCGGTCCTACACAAGACAACCTCTATCATTAAAAGTAACGTCACAGCCAGCTTCGGCTAATTGACCGACAGAGGTTAAGCTGGGTTTCAACGCAGGAACTAGAAGTGTGTCCGAGAGAGTAAGAAGACCAGAAGAAGAGGTGCCACAACCCGTCACGGGGAGACGGGCTCCATTCGCAACTTGGAGCTGAATACTCATCGCCGGACGTAAATGAGAAAAGGACTGACTAACAGGAGTCATATGATTATACGCAGCCGAATCAAGAAGCCAACGAATACATTTACCTGGGAAACACCTGTAGAAAAGGCAGACGTAAGAGCAGCATGTAAGGCATCCTGTAGCGTTTCCTGCACGAGCTTACGAACCAAGTCCGGAGAAAAACCCATAGATGACGAGGAGCCCGCCATTTTAGAAGAAGCAACAGGAGCATTAACACCAGAAGATGCACCATTACCCACAACAGCATATGCCGATCTAGAGGAAGAACCGCTCGGGGGAGGTCACAATTTACCATGACGACTCAAAGTAGGACACTCCAGAACAATATGCCCCGGTTTTTTGCAGTAGTTGCAAAAATTGCGCTTCTTAAAATGAATCTGCAAGTGCCCAGTCTCCTGACAGAAATGACATATGACTTCCCAGCTGGCTGCTGACACGCTAAAACACAACACCTAACAATGGCCAAGTGTAACCAATGAAAGGGACTGCAGTATAGTGGCACAAGTAATAAATATTGAATCCACGCGTCTCTAGAGTTACTATTACTCAGCTTCAGTTCATTATCTAGCAAACTAGATTAAGGATTGATTTACTAAACTACTCTACTAAGTACTCTACTAATTACAAGTTGGGAACTCACTTAGGTATGATTCCTCCTAGCTCCTCAATTAGGTCCAAGTTGCAATTACCTTTGGTTGATCTACTGTTGATTAAACTGCGGAAGATCCTAAATTAGCTTGGAATCTCTTAAGCTGACCAAGCCCTCTTAGACAGAATACCCGGCAGGCGACTAGCCTTCACCGGGATAGACTGCTAAGGCGATTCACACAGATCTCCACTACTGGAATGAATTCCAGTACAAAGCAGTGAATTGATTGACTCTCGCACAACCAATTCACCACTATCAATCTAGGAATCTCTCTTAACCTAATCAGATTCTATCTATCATAGGTTAAAGCAGAAATCAAGAGAAGATGATCAGGCTTCAATTGATTCTATAAATCATGTCTCAATCGATTATAATCAAACAACATAGCATCCAAAACTTCATACAAGAAAGATCCTAACACATGGAACTAGAGTTCCTCGAAACCTAAGTAAAGGAAAGTTACTCCATAGAGAAGAGAGAGACTGCAGAAATCTGATCTAGATCTTCAATCTCTATCTCTAAGCTTGATTCCCGAGTTCCAATGGTGAAGAAATCCTCCAAAATAGCTCCAAGAATGTTCCCAAGTCGCTCTCTCTCTCTAGGGTTTGTCCCTTGGGTGTTTGGGAACCAAAACCCAGCTCTCCCTTTCCTTTGGCTCGAATCTGCATCAAAAACCCGATTCTGGGCAAAATACAGGCAGAAATACGGTCGTAATTCTTCCATGCCCGTATTTTCCCCAAAACACGCGTTTTGGTTAAGTTTCAGCGCATCCAAAGCTCCTCTCGGCAGTGAAAATATGGGCATGAGAGGGGAAATTACGGTCGTAATTCTCCTGCCCGTAATTCTTCCTCCGCCCCTGTTTAATGCTTCGTTTCTCCCTCGTCCGGACTCCGAATCAGTCGTCGTTTGAACCCAGACGCTCGTAGTCTCGTCCTCTTTCTTTTCATAAAAAAATTCCATGATTATTTGTCCATAATATGAGGTAGAATTCCATTCTTCCTCTGATCATGCTCGTGTTTCTTCTCCCGAATTGCCAAATGATCTTCGATTGACTTGAAACTTGCGCCTATGCTTCAATTTACATGATAGGACCTGAAATGTGACAAAGGAACACAACCTAGCGTAAAATAGTCCATGAAAGCAAAAAATCAATCCAAAATGATCAAGAAACGAGGGTGCAAACATGTGCAAATATAACGTTATCAAATTCCCCCACACTTAATGTTTGCTTGTCCCCAAGCAAACCAAGTCAGATACAAGGTAAGCTCAGAACATCTTAATCATGAAACCCTTGGGGACATATCATATAGGCACGAAACACGGGAATCATACTGGCTTTTAGACATCAACACATGAACAACTTCAACAGCAACCTAGATGGCAACCACAGATGACATTCGAGTGCAGCAAAATCGGGTAAAGGAAGAGTCTCCCTTCTGTTCACCAACCAACCTAGACTTGAATCAACCACTTATTCAAGACAGTCAGCTCATGCATAAAACGCAAGATTTTAGAATCAAGACCGAGCCATCTAGGTCCTCACCGGGGTAAAGAGTGTAAAAAACAAGGAAATGAATCGCTCACTCTCGACCAGTGGGGTCAGGACAATTTGATGCGAAAAATGTGCATACTTATTCTCTCAATCCCTAATGTCTCTTCACCATGACGGTAGCCTCTAAATGTTAGAGTTCACATAAATGGGTGTCATCACTAACTAATCCGGAGGTCTTAGACACAGGTTCAAATGACTGGCTAGGGTCTAGGACATGGGGAAAAGGCCTTTTAGGTGGTGGAAGTATTCATAGCACAAGGTTCCATATTTCCAAACCCAACAAACTCACAGTCAATCAAACCACTTACTTTCCTTATGCCATTCTGCATTACTCAAATTCTTTAGAGCACAAGAGCGAAGGAGGTCACATAAATGTTAGTATTTCCAAGCCAGACTGCTAAGAAACACTACTTAATGGGCACTATTCAGATTTTTGTGGTGGTGGCTCTCTTTTGCTTTCATTCATCTTTTTCATTTCTTTTCTTTTTTCATTTCTTGAGAGAACCACACCTATGCACATTTTTCAAGCACATGCCCAACCTTTTAAGAACTACCTCCAACCCTCACATTACATTTAGCAGAACAGCAGAGAACATGTAAAAACCACTTTGTGGAACCTTCTAAGAGATGCAAAAGGGTGATTTTTCATTGTAGACCGAAAGAAAGGATGTGACACGGCTCAAAGGGGCTGACTAGGGGGTATGACACACCAGGACAGTCAATTTGGTCGTGGACTAATCCTATGCCTCCATCATCTTAGCTAATGACAACTTGAATGCTACACATCATGGAAGAGGGAACTATCGCACAAGAAAGAAACGAGCAGGCTCAAAT